CCCAAGTTGCAACCCCCAGCACTGTGTGTCCCTCACAGATCATCAGACCACAATTTTTTGCTTTTTACTTTCAGCACCTGTATCCATAACATCAAAACTCAAAAATCAGTAAACTGTAAGTACCATGTGTTTAAGGTATGGAAGAAGAAAGATTATCTTGTTATAAAATTAGATGGCAATGATGTAATGAAACAATGGATGACCTAAAATAATATTTTATGTCTTAGAATTAACAAACACTCACAGGAACACTTTTAATCCATAGGTTTTAGTAGTTAGAAAAATGTAAAACGCTTCACGAATTTGCGTGTCATCCTTGCGCAGAGGCCATGAAATTAGACTCCAGACAACCAAATTACCCTATTAAAAAATGGGGTATAGAGCTTAACAAAGAATTTTCAATGGAAGAAACTCGAATGGCCAAGAAGCACCTAAAGAAATGTTCAGCATCCTTAGTCCTCAGGGAAATGCAAATCAAAACAACCCTGAGATTCCATCTCACACCAGTCAGAATGGCTAAGATTAAAAACTCAGGTGATAGTAGATGCTGGTGAGGGTGTGGAGAAAGAGGAACACTCCTCCATTGTTGGTGGGACTGCAAGATGGTGCAACCACTTTGGAAATCAGTGTGGCGGTTCTTCAGAAAATTGGACATAGCATTACCTGAGGATCCAGCTATACCACTCCTAGGCATATACCCAGAAGATGCTCGAACATATAACAAGGACATATGCTCAACTATGTTCATAGCAGCCTTATTTATAATAGCCAGGAGCTGGAAAGAACCCAGATGTCCTTCAACTGAGGAATGGATTAAAAAAAATGTGGTATATTTACACAATGGAGTATTACTCAGCTATTAAAAACAATGAATTCGATAGGTTCCTAGGTAAATGGATGGAACTAGAATTATCATCCTGAGTGAGGTAAGCCAATCACAAAAGAACACACATGGTATTCACTCACTGATTATTGGATATTAGCCCAGAACCTTGAAATGCCCAAGATGCAACTCACAGGCCACATGAAGCCCATAAAGAAGGAAGACCAAGTGGGGGTGACTCGGTCCTTCTTAGAAGGAGCAACAAAATACTCAAGGGAGCAAATATGGAGACAAAGTGAGGGACAGAAACTGAAGGAGGGGCCGTTTCAAGACCACTCCACCTGAGTATCTATCCCATGTGCAATCACCAAAGGTAGATGCTGATGTGGAAGTCAGGAAGTGCATGCTGATAAGAGCCTGATATGGATATCTCCTCAGAGGTCTTCAAGAGTCTGACATACTCAGAGGCAGATGCTCACAACTAGCCATTGAACTGATCATGGGGTGTTCAATAGAGGAGTTAGAGTGAAGACTGAAGGAGAGCTGAAAGGATTTGTGGCACCATGAGGAGAGCAACAATACCAACCAACCACAGCTCCCAGGGTCTAAACCACCAGCCTGGGAGCACTTATGGAGGGATCCAGGGCTTCAGTTGAATATGTAAGAGTGGAGGGCCCTGCTGGGCATAGGTGGAAGAAGAGAACCTTGACCGCATGAAGGCTGGATGCCCCAGGGGGTGGGAATTTTGAGGGTGGGAGGTGGGAGTGGGGGAGTAGATAGAGGTTACATCCACAGAGAAGAAGGAGGAGGGGTGAGGGGATTGGGGGTTCCTGGGTGGGTGGGGGATGGGGTAAGGGGACAACATAGGAAATGTAAATAAAACATCCAATAAAAATTTAAAAAAATAAAATACCCAGAATTGAATACCAAAAAAAAGAAAAATGTAAAACAAGGATATTTATTATAGCAGAATACACCATAATAAAAAGAAGAAAATTTCAACTCAATTGACTCAAACATTAGCAATACAGCAAAGTCTTTTTACCAGTGATAACTAACTTGTGATTTATTCTATCAGATTAAGAAATGTGTGAAGAATAAACTTGCTTAAGTATCAAATTAATTTTAGCAAGAAGAGTTGAAGAATGGAGAACACCAAGGAACATCAATAGTCAGTAAGAGCAATTAGAGACAAGGGAAACAGCTTGACTTGGGTATTGATGAATCAAGGAATATACCATACTTGAGAAATTAATGCCAGGAATGAAGGACTAAAGGGATGGTCTCTGAATTTTTTACAATGGAACAATTTAACAGGCAAGAATACTTTCTAAGGAACAGGGACTCCACACACCCTGTAGCAGAAGCTGTGAAGAGCTTTACTGGAGGTGCTGTGTAGAATAAAAAGTCTTGCTTAAACTTTATGAAAGTGTATGGTATTTCCAACCTGGGCTCATTTATGGTGTCATTCCTCAGCAGATACTTTTCAGCATATATTTCACTCAGCCTTGGGCTATTGAACCAGGGATGGCAAGAATGGCCTTCCTTTGCTCTTACAGGTTTAACCACTGAGCATCCTGCTTTACTCTCCCATAGAGCAGTTCATTGGCTTAGTATAGTGTCATGACAGTTTGTTTTGAACTCAAGGCTGATACGTCTTCATCTACTGTAAGGATGGATGAGACAGTCAATATGATACTGGACAGCTTTTGATTTTAGCCTGTGCTACAGACCTGGATAGTGTCTTGTAATGAATTCAACCAAAAATTGTAGGGCAAACAAAATCATATGTGGAACACACTTAAACATCTAGTTACTTCATAGCTCAGTGTAGTATCAACAGCTAGACAAGACCTCTACAAACATAGCTGTAGGTCAAATCAGTTTGATCAGCATGTTAAGAGCTTAATACAAACGTGAAGGCAAATTCTGATTTCAAAACCCACTTTAAGTATTTGGTAGAGAGTCTTCTATCCAACATTCATCTGGAAGTGATTAATCTATCATGTGCTAAAAGAAACATATCAAGAGGAAAAATTAACTAACCAAAAGTTCATCAATGCCTTGCTTTCAGATAATGAATATGATTCATAAAAACCATTTCTCACTTATCTGTGTAAATATTTTGCATTATCTATCTTCATATTATATATACATAAATTCTTCTCACAGACCAGTCTCAGCAGATAAACACTTATGGGGGTCTGTGTGTGGATGGTGCATGCATGCTGGGGATTGAACATAGGAACCCACACATGCTAGGCAAGCTCTTCACCTACTGTCCTCAGTCTCTATAATTAAATCTGATGTTAGGACATTTGAATCTCAATTAAGGAATATCTTTCCATAATGTATTTAACTCTTCTCATTAGGAGAGCCATGTTGCAATTTTGCCTCTTAGCTCCCAAAGTCTCATAGTCACTGTGTAGGCCTTCTACAGGTGTTCAGGTTTCAGCTCTAGAACAGAAGCCACACTGAACACTTACAAAGCACAGGTTAAATGCCCTGAGTTTACATGCTGGCTTTGTCACCAGCTGATCATCAGCACCCATCAAACTTTTCTCTGCACATTTTTCTCGTTTGTAGATATCTGTAAGTGATGACATCAATTTCATAGGTTTAGAAAAAGGGTGAAATGAGTTAGTAAATGCAAACTTGGTACAGTTCTTTGTACCAGTTATGTAAGTATTTAGCAAAGGTAATCTGCTAGCTCGATATAAAAGCTTGTAATCAATTATACATTTCCTACTCATTGGATAAACAGTAGATATGTTTACATCCAGAGACAAAAATGAAGTCCCGGTTTATGAAGGTAGAAGCTAACCAAGCTTCTCCCCAGCATTTCTTACTTCCATCAAATAGAAGACCAGGCAGAGCCCCCTGCAGCTTTATCAGGGTGGCAATTCTCATAGCCCTCTTTCAATGGAGAGATTGTGTTAATCTTAACTATTTTAAATTTCATATTACATTCTTAGAGTCTAAATAAGAATAAACACAGTAATAGTAATCTACGATATTCACACTTTTAAAATGTGACAACTCAAAATACATACATTAGTTGTTAAATCCATAAATGCTGGACAGCTGCCATTTGCTTATGTATAAATTTGGTAGCTTAACACCTTCGAATGAAAAAGTACCCGTATATATGTACTAGTGAGAGTATCTTAAAAACTGCCTGGAAATACTGTCTGCTAATGTGCTTTTTGTAAATGAATTATGCTATAAGAACATTTCAATTATTGTTATCCAAAAAGCTTCTTGTAATGATAAGACTGTTCTTCATCCACAAGTCCAACATGGTAGCTACTAGCTGGCCTTATTCAGCTAAAGAGTAATGAGAAACAGGCAGTTCAAACACAGAAATGGCATATGAAATTATATTACAATTAAGCGGATAATCAAACAGCACAAACCTACCGAATTACTGCAGGGCACATGGATGTTAAAATATCACATTTCTGTGTTGGGTAGAAAAACTCTGTTATACTGCAGGGTTAACAGAATCCCTGAATGCCACAAAGCATTTTTTGTCTACTTTCTAAAGAGGAGAATTCAATAAATTCATTATGTAACAAATTTCCCCTCTCCTCCTCCTGACCCTGAACTACAGCTGAATTCTAATTACTTAAGTTTTGAATTGTAGAAAAATATAAATGAAATCCATATATATGTTGTTACCCATATAACTGAGAAGCCTGAAGTCTCCAAGGCTTATCTGTAAGGCACCTGTTCAGCAGTTGGAAAACTACTTCAGTTAGTAGTTGACATCTTATACTTGAACATGCCTATGTTTTTCTACATCCAGCAGTCAAAGAAAAATGCAGGTAGAAGTGGTAAAAGTACTAAGTTTCCAGCTGAACAATTAATATGTCAGCGAAAGCAATCTCATTTAGAAGCAAGAGCAGCCTGATGATGCCGGGTTTGAGGCTAGCCTGGGATACACGGAAAGCCTTGTCTCAATGTAAATAAACAATGACGACAACAACAACAAAACAATTATATTTAAATGAGTCTCTCCAACTGATTTTTTTTTCCACTTACTTTTTTGGTGCTTTAGCACTAGGTAAACACTGTGATGCTGAACTTTAATTTCAGTGTTCCCATTCTCAACTGGATCTCCCAATTTGTATAACAAACGAAACACTTGCCAGCTCATAACACTTAATAATGATTCTTTACAAAGAAAGATGTGTAAAATCAACTTTATTTTTCATAAATATGACGATGACTTTATTTTTCAAAGTATTCCCACAAAATAAATTAGAATATTTCCATATCATTCCTTTAACATACAATTACTAATTAAAGCATACCACTGATCAACATAATGGGAAATAACATCAGTGATTCATACATTCCTAAAGAAAAGTGCCTGTAATATTTTAAAGAGCATTCTATACATTTTTACTTGATTCAATGGATAATTTTACATTTTCCTTTAAATTCTATAAACGTCTTAATTCTCACTATTATAAAAACTAAACAAACAAAAAAAGCTACCCCCACCAAAAAAAAAAAAGCCACCAAATCATGATTTCAGTGACATAACAGGTATGAACTCATTGAGTAAAACTCTTTTTTATGAATACTTTAGGAAAGCTTGCATTGAGCTCTAACACAGCCCTGTTATCAATCTGGGAACAGAAGGACACATCAAGGAGGGTAAGGTCTTTGCAAGATTCCAGGAGTTTTCTCAAGGATGCTGGACTTACCATTCTTGTTCCTGTTTAAAAACAAAAAAACAAAAAAAAACAAAGCACTTATAGACAAAATCCAGATAATGAGCTCGTTTGCTTTTATTTTCAACTTTTGTAAAATAGATAAACTTTTAAAAACAAAATACATTATGTTAAATGGTTTTGCTGAACAAAAGTAAAACTTAATATTCTCAGACATCTTCACGGTGGGAATCTGAACCTTGCCAATTCTCTTCTATCCATCGCCTCCCTTGCTACTTTAGTGCTCCTCACTGTCCCCTCTCTTACTTCATTACCCCAGTGCAAAAGGATATGCACATCTCACCTTACTTAACTCATGGCAAGCTGTGTGGCACCCATTAGGCAGTGATGCTAATATTTCACTTTCCAATCATGACTGAGCAACTATCCTAGCAGTCTCAAAAACCTGTTTCAGGCCTGGGAAAGGAACAACGGGCAGGACACATCTGATGTAGGGTGTCACTGACCAGGGCATAAAACAAATGACCCAGCAAAACTGTGTCTTATAGTGGGTGACTAGAAGGCAGATCAAGGGTGACAAGTGACTTCTGCCTGTGTTCAATTTGGAGTATCATAGGACATCCAGTTGGAAGGTAAATTTCATAAATTATGAAAGGCATCTAACACACAAAAGGCACTTAGTAAATACCAAATGTCTCATGAGTCTAAGAGATGCTCTTTACAAAATACATCCTGATTTAATTACAGTTTTTCTGGAGGAAAGAATCACCATCATAACACATATGTATATCTACTGACAAAGGCATTAGGATCTGGGTCATTGTTTCTATAGTGCTGGGGTTCAAATCTATAACCTTGTGTACACTAAGCAAGTGTTCTATACTAATCTACACTCCCAGGCCAAGATAACACAAACCTCATTCTGTGTAAGTCCTTTCCACACCCATTACTCTCATGGTATCCAGAGCTGTGATTATAAGGAATGTCCTGCCACCTGTCTGCACCTGGTTCTAAGCTAAACCTGCCCAGATTTCCCCTGGAATTGGGATTTGGCAAAGCCTCCACTGTCCATAAATACCAATGCTCAAGGACATAGAAAGCTGGGCTGGCACTGTTGTGTTTGGCTGTGTGCCCAGGGCAGCACGGATGGCTTTTATGAGAAGAGAACAGGCATAAGCAGGAGGGAAGCAGCTATCTTTGCGAGTACACACTGATGTGGTACAGTGGACAGGGGTAGGAGGACCATGTAGGACAGGAAAGGGAACGACTGTGGCAGCACACTCAAGACCTGCACAGGTTCAAGCTTAGTGGGGTCCAATACTGAGAGGGAGATGAGGACACGCAGGCTCAAGATATTTGCAACAGATACCTACTGCAAAGGGAAATCAGTTTCCTCTAATGGAGTGTCCACTGAGTATATCCACACTTCAGGGCAGGCCCCATACTTAGGAGTAGTGGGTCAATACAAAACAGACTCCAAGTTGTTTGTGAACTTTTGGGTTCATTTTAGCATTCTTTTTCGTCTAATTGGTGTTTTGCTTATTTTTTTATTTTTGTTTTTGTGGGGATTTTGTTTTGTTTTTAGTGAACAAGTGAGTGAGAGAGAGGGAAGAAGGAAGAGAGGGAGGGAGAAGGAGAGAGAGAGAGAGAGAGAGAGAGAGAGAGAGAGAGAGAGAGAGAGAGGGAGAGAGAGAGAGAGAGAGAGAGAGAGAGAGAGAGAGAGAGAGAGAGAGAGAATACATAAGTTGGGTAGGTAGGAATGTGGGAAGAATTTTGGAGGAGTTGAGGAAGAGAAACATGATCAAAGATTTAATTTAAAAAAAGAGAGAGAGAGGGAGAAGGAAAGAAAATAGCTTCTGTGCCTTTTGATAGCTGTTCTAATCCCTCTGAGGTCTGACTGTAGCTTCTAAGCATGGGATCTAAGGGATAAAACTGTATCTTCATAATAATTTATATTAAATGGGCTTCAATTAAGTGAGATCAGAGAACCTCAACTCCACTCTTCAGTTTGCTGTATAGTTTTGTTTGGTTTCACCCCGAATGGTAACTACTTTCTATTTCTTAGTCCTGCCAATTAGAAGCTGTGTTCCCTAACAAATGCAGAAAATCAGAGATTTAAATTTTAATTAGACCAAAGTTCCCCATCCTATGATTCCAAGCTACTTGGCACTTTTGTTCTATTAACCACAGAAGACACAGTTTTACGCTCAGTTAGCTAGCTCCATCAAGGCAGGGTCCACTCTATCTTGACTACATATCTTCTACTTTAAAGCAATGCTAGACACACTACATGCTATGAATTAAAAAACTTGGAAAAATCACCCAATATTAGATATTACTACATTTTGACTTTTGTTAAATGGAGTATTCTAACACCAGACTTCTGGGATTTTGGGCTCTTCCTTTCTAGTTGAGCTACACCTTATCTCTAAAGCTCACTAACCCGTCAATGAGAGTCCTCTGACTTTACCTTAAGTCTCCTCACTCAGTTTAGACTCTGCAGGAATGAGGCCATATGCTGACACACCAGGTCAAGTCAGACTGGCTACTTCCCGGGGACAACCTGTACCGTCATGTTCCATGCTTCTTTTTCACGCTCCTTCTTCTACTTCATTTCCTATTCACTTTTGAATGCTATCTTCAAAGTGTCTAATAACTTTTAAAAGAAAGGTGCTCCTTATATTGCCTCCCACGCCCCTGGGCACCAGCAAAATAGACTTGCATAGCTTGCATTATTTATACACTTGTTCTCCCTCATTCTTGCTAGGTTATAAACTCTTAGAAGGTGGGGAAACACAGCATCTTACTCTGCTTTCGACATACAGCAGGGTCTCAGTGAGGCAAGTATGTCATTTAACACCCATAATCCAACAACAATGACAGAAACAATCACTATCGCTTTACCCTGAATTAACAGATTCCTTATTTTAAAATCCTTACTTTAAGGATTCTAGTATTTGAGAATGAAAGAAAATCCTATGATAAAATTAACGGAAACATAGCAGAGTTGATCATACAAAGTAATGGGTTTCATATGGTACTTTCATATGCACACACACCATCATACATTGTACTTTCATATGCACACACACCATCATACATTGTACTTTCACATGCACACACACCATCATACATTGTACTTTCATATGCACACACACCA